GTGGGGCGGTGACAGGGGACTTCCGTCTCGATGGCCCAGGTGCAACTGCTGTCCTGTGATGTATCTGCCTTGTTCCCCGGGAAGATTGTCAGTAAGATTCTTCCATCAGAGAAGCTTTGTTTATTGCTTGGGAAACACCAAAAGAACTTGAACCAGTAAATATTCCAAAGTATGCTGAAACATGGTTCTCGTGGCTTTGGCTGGCTTCACAATGCCTTCTATTTTATCTTCTGCCGTTTACAAAACACACACACACACACACACACACACACACACACACACGCCCTGCCTTGCTGCATCTGGACGGAATTAATTTCCAGATCACATTTCTAAATCAAATAATAATTTGAAAAAAAAAATCAAAATCCTCCCAGCTGGCCAAGCATGGGGAGGTGGGCATGGAAGGCAGGAGAGCCACCTGGGGCAGATGTCCAGGGCCCGGGCTTCCTAGTGGCCGTCATCTCGAGGGTGGGCTCCTGTGGGGTGATATGGGAGTTGCTGAAGGTGTCTCCTCACGCTGGCACATCCCTCAAGGATGAGCTAAGAGAGCAGTGGGGATCACATGACCACCCCCCATGTGCTGGTTGGGGTGAGGTGCAGACCCCAGCAGTGCCAATGACACAGTGACATGCTGGAGACTGAGGGGCAGTGACCTGAGCCAGGGCTCAGTTTCTGGTAGAGGGTGAGCTAGGATACCGAGCAGATGCGGGAGCCCCTCTTCTCAGCACTGGTCCTAGACTTGACCTTGGAATTCCCCCAAGATTCACCGGGCTCTGAGGCCAGATGGGCCGGATCCAAATCCAGCTATGCCACGTATCAACTGTGTAGCCTTTGGCAAGTGACCTTGCCCTCTGTGCCTCATTTCCTCATCTGTAAAATGGGAATACACCAAACCCATTGCTGTCAAGTCAATTCTGACTCAGCGACCCTGTAGGACGGAGTAGAACTGGGGCATAGAGCTTCCAAGGCTGTAAATCTTTACAGAAGCAGACTGCCACATCTTTCTCCCGTGGAGCTGCAGGTGGGTTCAAACTGCCAACCTTTCAGTTAGCAGCTAAAAAAAAAAAAGTTGCCGTCTAGTCAATTCTAACTTATATCAACCCCATGAATGTCAGAGTAGAACTGTGCTCCATAGGGTTTTCATGGCCGTGACCTTTTGGAAGCAGATTGCCAGGCCTTTCTTCCAAGATGCCTCTGGGTGGGTTCAACCCTCCAGACTTTATGTTAGTAGGCAAGCACTTAACCATTTGCTCCAGCAGGGACTCCAGCTCCTAAGTCGTGATTTATTGCAAGGATTCTGAAAACACAAGGTAACAGCATGTTGTAATTGCTAGTATTACTGTTAATTTTAGTTAATAGTCATGTGGAATATAAAATCTCATTAAGAAGTTATTAATATCAAGGCTACCAGTATCGCCAGCTCATAATAAGCTCTCAATAGATGTCAGCTTTAGTGACATTATTAGCAGCCCTGTGCCGAATCCTGGGCTCACAAAGACAAGCTGGACCCAACCTTGCCCTCAGATGCTCCCAATCTCCAGGGACAGACAATTCTAGCAAACAGTGTGTTCTGGGAAACCCAGTGGCTTTATGAGCCCAGAGGAGGGCAAGGCATCAGGGAAGGCTTCCTAGCGGAGGTGATAACTGAGCTAGCTGGGGGCTAGCTGGCTGTACAGGAGGCAGGGAGGGAGTTCCAGGCAGAGGAGCAGCACTTACAAAGGCCTGGAGGCTGAGAGCCATTGAGTTGGAGGCAGCTATCCCCCCTCCACCCCTGAAGTCCTGGGTGGTCATGCCCAAGGCAGTGTTGTGCAGTGGTTAAGGATATTTGCGCTGGAACTGACTGCTGGGTTTAAATCCTGTCTCTGCCACCTAATGGCTGTGAGATCTTAGAGAAGTCTCCTCATGCCTCAGAACCTCAGTTTCTCCATCTGTGAAACGGGAATGATGATAATACTATTTCAGTGGTTGCTGGGGGGTTAAATAGGTTACCACGTGTAAAGCATTTAAAGCAATGGGCATCCGCTGCCGCTTCTGGTATCATCATCATCATTATTCCTCGGTCCCAGGCCCCACTCCAGCTGGCTTCTTGGTCCTTCTCAGCAAGACAGCATCTGCAAACAGCTGCCTCCGCCTCCCACTCAGCCCTCTCCTGCCTTCAGCCCCCACGGCTGCTGCCGTGGGAACCATGAGGAAAAGCCTGGAGCTGTGGGGGCTCCAGGGGAGGGTGCAGAGAGGGTGCTGGGTCCCTTAGTATCTAGTACTGCTGTAACAGAAATACCACACGTGGGTGGCTTTAACAAACAGGAATTTATTTACTCACAGTTTAGGAGGCTAGAAATCCAAATTTAGGGCACTGGCTCTAGGGAAAGGCTTTCTCTCTCTGACGGCTCTGGAGGAAGGTCCTTGTCTCTGAGCTTCTGCCCCCAGGCCATCTTGTGGCTTGGCATCTCTCTTCTGCTATCTCTGCTGTTTGCTTGTTTAATCTCTTTTATATGTCAAGAGGTTGACTCAAGATACACCTTACACTCGTCTTATTAACATAACAAAGACACCCATTCCCAGATAGGATTATAACCACAGGCATAGAGGTTAGGATTTACAACAGTTATTTTGTGGGGACATAACTCAATCCACAACACTGGGGGAAGCAGGAGGGCCAGGGAGGGGGCGGGACCCCTTCCTCCGTTGGCGGACGTCTGCCTCAGCACTCCTGCTCCAGCACACAGGCAGGGCCTGCCACCTCTGTTCCCTGGCAGGTATCCACCTCCAAATGCCTCCAGGCTAAGCCAGCAGCCCCATCAAACAAGGCAACTCAGGGGAAGAGGCCTGGCTGTCAGTCATTCACACCTTAGTATGAACAAGCCCATGAGAATGCAGGCTTCCTGGAGGTGGCTGTAGAGTCTGTTGCCCCTGGGAGGTGGGGCCACAGGAGGAGCAAGGGGGTGTGGAGTTGCTGGGTGCTCACTCCCCAGGTAGGCACTAAGCCTGAGTACCTGCCCTGTGCCCAGCTCCCAGCTAACTGCTCGGGACACGCAGAGGCCTCCCCCTTGAAGGGCCCCAGGCAGTCAAGCTGAGTCTGCAGGCCGAGAAGAGCTTTGCCAGGCAAAGGCAGGGATAGTGTTCTGGGCGAGGGGACATGCAAGCAGAGCATGTGGGCTCACTGTCAGGCCTGGACACCCAGCTCAGCCCTGTTCCAGCCTGGCCGTTGGCTGAGGAGCCGGGGCAGGGGGGCGGGGTAGGGGAGCAGGGCCCAGTCCCTGCAGAGGCCAAGGCTGGGACCAGGGAAACCAGGCCCAGAGGAGCCAGAGCCTGGAAACGCGGGGCTGGGAGGGGCCTCATGGTCATCTCATCCAGCCCAGAGAGGCGCAGGCGTCCTCCCAGGCCACACAGCAGAGCAGAGGAGGAAGAAGAGGGACCAGGCCCAGGTCTCCCGACTCCTGGCCGGGGCTCGCTGCCCTCTTCAGACGGAGGGACCTGCTGTACGGACCCAGGAGGATGGAGGGGCCCATCTAGGCGAGAGCTGAGTGGTCCCCCCCGGGGGGGTGGGGCAGCGTGCTGGCCTAGACACAGGCTGTTTCTCAAGGCCAGGAGGGCCTCCTTGCCACCCGCCAGCTCACACCCACCCGCCAGCTCACACCCACCCAAGCAGATGCCCGCAGTAGGGAGCAGATAGGGACAGATGTTTAGTGATTAACAGATCAGCGCCTTTAAATGGCACAGACCCTGGAGCACTGTGGAGAGAGCCACAGCCCAGCTGCAGTGGCAAGGCTGGGAAACCCCCGCCCTGGGCGCCTGGGTGTGACTCCAGCCTTGTGGGGGAGAAGCATACCCCCAGACCTTCCGCCCTAGGTGACAGGTGCTGAGGGACACTCAGGGCTGAGGGCCATAGCAGGGGCCTCACCCAGCTGTGTGGGAAGGGCAGGGTGTCTGGAAGGCTTCCTGGAGGAGGCAGTCTCCTACAGAGGCTGAGTGGAGTTAGCAGAGGAAGAGGGTAGGGAAACGGCATGCCCTGTGCACAGGCCTAGTGGGGGAGCGAGCGGGGCTGACCAAGGAGTTACGTTTGCAGCTTAAAACCGCCAAAGGCTCAGTCCGTTGTCACTTCAGCCTTGAGAGTGGCCTTCAGTGGCAGCACTGGAGACACAAATCAGGGTGAATGGAGAAGGCACATGAGGTGGAGCCCTAAGCACTGGCCGTGCACAGTCTGGCCGTGCTGGGTGAAGGGGACCCCTGGGGGCAGAGTGGAGGGGAGGGGAGAGTAAGGAAGGCAGGTGGCTGGTGGGACAGAGGGTACCAGCAACTGCTGGGGTGGGGCTGTGGAGGGGTACAGGCTTCTGAGAGAGAAATGGAGAGGTCTGGAAGGGAGCTGGCTTGGGGCAGGGGGCAGCAGCAAAGTTCCATGCTGCACATGGGGGTGGTGGGTGGCCCAGCATGGGTGATACGGGGCAAGGGGCTGACAGCTCCGGCACTCAGGTAGGTGCGGCCTAAGACAGCAGGCCTCCTGTTGGAGGGCATCACCCCAGGCCCAGTGAAATGGGGATGCACAGGGAGAGGGGAGGATGGAGCCACTGTCTCCCAGGTGGCGGGAACCACAGGGTGGGCGAGCAGAGGGCACCCATGGGAGACAGCTGGCAGGTCCAGAAGCAGCCCCTATGTGTGGGGGTGAAAGTGGGGGCAGAACCCCAGGGCCCAGCTGAGAATTCCTTCCAAGCACTGAACAGTGTGGAGCCCGCTGCTATCCCAGCCCGAGGTCTTGGGGTCCTGTGGGAGATGCTGAGGCCAGCCAGGGCAGATGGATTCCGGGGATCTGGAAGGGAGCAGATCAGGCAGGCGGAGGAGGTGGAGGGTGGGAGTGAGGGGGGGGCAGCCAGGATGCAGCCAGGAGGGTCCCCAAAACAGCCCCCCGTGCCGTGTGCTCTCATCAGCCGCATTGATGAACTCAGCCCACCAGGCTGCTCGCCTGCTCAGTCTCTCTCTCTCTCTCTCTCTCCGTATCTCTCCAGCAATTACACCGCCCTGTTGGGAGTGTGGATCTATGGCTTTTTCGTGTTGATGCTGCTGGTCCTGGATCTTTTGTATTACTCGGCAATGAACTACGACATCTGCAAGGTTTACCTGGCACGGTGGGGTATCCATGGACGCTGGATGAAACAGGACCCCCGGCGGTGGGGGAACCCCGCTAGGGCGCCTCGGCCAGGGCAGCCAGCCACGCAGCCCCAGCCTCCCCCGGGCGCCCTACCGCAGGCCCCCCAGGCTGTGCACACGTTGCAGGGAGATGGCCACAGCCCGCCGCTGATGACCTTCCAGAGCTCGTCCGCCTGGTGAGTGGTTGCTGCCAAGGCCCAAGCCGCTTTGGGCGACTCATCTTGGGTGAGCTTGGAAAATACTGGCTCATTACTGCTGCTGTTTGTCCGGCTGGTTACCTGATGGTTTGCTTCTCTCATGGTTTGTCAGGAAGGATTTTAAAGCTGCCCAGGGAAACAACGTGTGCATGGACAGGAAGCCAAAGTGAGAGGTGGCGTCAGAGCTTAGACGCAAAGCTTGCAAGTTCATTGCACTTAGGGTCTGGTGTGAGAATTACTGTCTTTAAACATTATATGGAGTTGTGAGTTCTCTGGCTGCCAAGGCAAAAAGAGAAATTAGATAGCTTTCCAGATTTTTATGGTCTGATCAAAGGGAACAAATCAGTCTGTTGGAGGTGGGGGAGAAGATTTTTTTCTAGCATTAGACTAAAAAGTAAGCGTATTACTGGGTCCTTCCATGTATGTACATTGAGTCACACGAGGAGGATTTGGAGTGACTCAGGCAGGCCACTCAGTGATGGCTCAGGAGAAGGGAAGAAAGCTGGGGGTTGGCCTCGTGGGGTGGCTGCCCCAGCAGAGCCCCATTACCCTGCCCAAGGGGTGTATTCAGACCCAGCTTTCTCTATTGCCACTCCCATTTCTACTCAGTCCCAGGCTGGTGGGCGGGGCGTGACTGACCTGGGAGGCTCTGGAGGGGCAGGAACAGGGAGCTCTGTGAGGCTGGCCAGCACCAAGGACAGGGACCTGCCACCCACTGTGGGGACAGGGAGCTGGCAGGGGCCAGGCTGAGTGCAGATGCCCAGGTCGAGAGGTAGGGGTGAGCTGGAAGTTTTGTGTGAGGGCTGAGCTGCAGCCATGGGCACGCGGGTGTCCAGACACTCCTTCCCAGTACGTGAGGATACTGAGCTCAGGCTCCAGATCTACCCCAGAGCCCACTGCCAGCGGGACGCAGAGTTGACAGCAGGGATCCCACTGGGTCTGAGTCTGAGCTTTGCTGGCAGCCCCCAGCTCGAGTCCCCGCCTTGTCAACTTGCCAGCTTGTGACTTTGGGTCAGTTACTTCACCCACCTTAACTGTTCTTTCCTACGAAGGTGTTCAGGGTGAGAATGCCTCCCCACCTGTTGGCCTAAGAGTCTATTAAATGCCTGGCACACAGTAGGTGCTCAGCTAGCCTTTACATCTTCCTCGCTGGAAGTGCAGCCAAGCTAATGATCATTTAAGTAGTGACCTTTTCAATAATGAATGATGTAAATAATGAATAAAATACACTCAAATCAGCGTGTGCTTATTGACTGGGTAATTGCCCCATCTGTCATGCAGAAGACGCAGCCGTGACAAATGCTGGCTGAGCGGCTCATGGGGCAGGCCCTGTGCTGCACCCACGCTGTGGAGGTGATAGGTGGAAGAGAGGCCTGAGCACCCCCAGAGGAGTCCACAGAGCGGGCAGGGAGGCACAAACGCACAGGAAGCTGCTGCCGACGAGGAAGTGTCCGTGGGCCGGCACCAACAGCAGGGTTTCCTGGGCTGTTGGTTTAAATGAAGATCCCTGTGGCTCAGGCAGACCCCACTGCCCGGGATCTCTGCGGGTGATGCTGTGGCCACTGCAGTTTGAGAACCACTGGAAAAGTCGTGATGAGTGGCCGTGGTTTTTTGATAGCTAAGAATCGACAATTTAAATAATGGTTCTCTCTCTCTTCACCCTGTCTCATTCTGTCTCTGTCTATCTCTCTGTCTCTGTCTCTCTGTCTTTCTCTCTGTCTCTCTCTTCCCTTTCTCTCTGTCTCCATCTTTTTCTCTGTCTCTGTGTCTCCTTAAGTCTCTGTCCCTCTCTGTCTCTTTCTCTCTGTCTCTCCCTTCCCTTTCTCTCT